CTTACGGGGGCGCTGTGGCTGGTTCACTGTCAAGCCACAAATAGCTACCTTATTTGCATGCTGCGATTAATAGACAGCGTTTGCGGCCGTTCCTACTAAGCACGTACAGCCCATGGAGAACATGTTTCGATTTACAGACTTATTCGCCTTTATGGGCCGTTTTGCGAACTAAACCTATAGTCGAGTCCAGAAAAATAGAAGCAGCAAAGGTGGCAGGAATAGGCTTCTAAGGACCAAGTTACAAATGTACGTTGATACAATCTTCACACTCTGTCTTGTCGCCGAAACTTGTTGCGGCTGACAGCATTGAAGTGGCCGGCTCCCTACGGGGCCTCCGGCGTTTACGTTTTGGGGGAGGCGCTGGGTCATCGTCGCTGTCACCAGCGCCGTAGTGAAGCTCAGGGTCGAATTCCTGCATCTTGGACGCAGACCTCGCAATATGCCGGTCGCTTCTCTCAGGACAGGTGAATGGGATCAGGGTTTGCTGGGACCTCATGATAACTTGCGCTACCAACTATTGGCTAAGTTATAAGTGCAAACGTAAATTGGACAGACCGAAGCGAACCTTTGGCTTGATTATGGAGTGCGATTCCCACAGTACGCCCGTCACCTCCAGGAATCATATCCATGGAATGCGTTGACTGCCAAAATAGGAACACCAGCCACAGCGCCCCCGTAAGAGCGCCCCCGTAGCAAAGTGGTTAGGCCCGCATAGCAATTGCCTTATTGTTTAAACCTTACAAGGGCCTAAGGTACCGGTCGCAGATGACCTTTCCGCTTTTGTCAAAATTACCCGAAAGGGAGTATTAGCCGCTATCTCCAAGCTCCCATTGGTCAATCGTCGGCATGCCGGTTTCCGTTTCTTGAGGCAGTACTCATCTTGGTTGCCCCCTACTTTAATTAGACTTCGCTGCATTTCACACGGAGAAAACACGGCGAAACGCTGAATGCCGCAGCCACAAATCACTAATGCATAGGCTTGGCAGCCTTCTATCATGAGCAGTCACCGTCTGCATCACTAGTCTTGTGTAAAGTTTAAGCTAAGTCAGCCATGGAGGGTGCCGAAATAATGCCCTGGCCGTCTCGTGCCATTTGGGACGGATTGTCCTCTTGCCTGAAGGAATCTATCCGGCACCAGCAGTCTGACTGGGCTCGACCACAGATTACTTTAGAGTCAGTCTGCCTTGGATTGTCGGATAATGCCTCTGTAGATTGAAGTCGCAGAGCTTGGTGTAATTGCTGGATGTCATAGCGTCGGCTATCATGAATAAACTTAGCCGAAAGTTAAACTCAGACGAAAGGAAGTTTTGTGGTATTAAGCAAAGAGCTGCAGACGGAGTCTGCAGCACAACAACCAACAATAATAAATTTTATAAACAAGCTTAGTTAACGATGAGTCACATAACGTGACATGGATGATTCAAGATCGCATTCGGCAACATCTGGCATACTGTCAGAAATACTGTGGCACTATTATAGAGATAAAAAATTGTGACATATTCTTTTCTGTTTTCCTCCATTGTCTAACTTGAACAGTTGAGGTCTTTTATCTTTACTCCCCAACCACCTGAATTCATTCAGGTGCTTGGCCAACCTTCGTATTTTGTAGTCACTGAGAATCTAACACATACAAGGGTTACATCCCAATGGCAGATGTGCTGCAATTTACGACGCAGCACTGCGAACGGATAGATGCATCGGCTACAAATTCACACATATGGGGAACAGCGACATGCAGGTCGTCATGAGACAACTACCCGAATAAACCATGGTCAATAAATCCGTAGATCGAACCGGTGCCACTTCATTCTTTGTATTCTTCTGTTTTAAATTCGTAGCGTCGTGTTATAAGTTTATAACCCATATCCGGCATAGCATGCTTGCTGAGTACACGGTCCGTATGTACAGCAATGGTTGGCCCGGCCCTAGCCTGTACTCCTTCAGTTTATAGCCCCTGCATCAGATCCAGAACTGAAAGTCGCCTATCCAAATCTACGCGATAAACGTGCAGTGCTTTACAAAGTAGCAGCTAGGTTTGCTTCTACTTAGTGCCTCTCCCAGCGAATGTCTCTTGGATTTATCCAGCCTTTGCAATTCCTCAGATTAACGTCTTCGTCTATCAGCGTCATCGTGAAGGTTAAATATCATCAAACAAAAGGATGCAGACAGAGGATCAAATTCCACACAGAGAGTCATTGACAATAGTCGTGTCCGCCGCCGTAAGATGACTGTACCAAATTTTGGCCTACTAGCCACCATTGAAGAGCTCGATACGGACTCTCGCATGTATAACCCTGGGCACCAGTAAAATTTGCACAAACTAATATGGAAGCAGAAACAATGCCAGCCAAGCCACGGCTTCATAAAAGCTCTCTTAATGCACGAGAGTACATGACGAAAGCTGGACTGTTTCATACAGGGTGGCGATCAACTCAA